ATAAACGGCTCAAGCTCCCGCTCCCAGATAGCAGCCATAGCAGCCCGTATCCCGTCAGCATTAGGCATATCATCAGCCAGCCTCTCAACATTCATCGCCCAAATCGCTACCGTGCCACCAGGTCTAAGTAACTGGCCCGCGCGTTCCCAGAACCGAGGTATATCAAACCAGTGAGCAGCCGTAGCGGCAGTGATCAAATCAACACTTCCGTCCTCAATCTCCCATCCCGCCAGATCTGAATCCCTTCCCAAATCCTCAGCATTATCACAATAAAACTCAATCTCATCCCCAGACTCAGTCTATATCCGGGGTTAACCTCATACTTAGATGAGGTGATTTGGGCAATTCCAAGCTTGTTGATTGATATAGGAACCCCAACGTCCCTTGAACACATAGAAGGCAGCATTGGCCTCCCGCCATTAAGTCCTTAGCAATATCAAAAGCATCCAACCCTATATCGCTTCCTAGACCAACCAAAAACATGTACAGCCCTAACAAGAACACTGGACGAAACACCCCCCCGGGGGAGGACTTCGAGTACGAAGGAAGCGAACCCTCAACCATCGAGCCGATCTCACGATGTCACAATCGCAGTCCTACCGGTTCATCTCTGCCACTTCGACGGCTTGTTCATTGGACCCTTTTTGGTTTTCTGTTAAGCAACCTTCCTGTCCTGCTGATGGCGATGGGATCAATATATTGGAGAAATGGATATAAATAAGAATGAAGGATGGCTCTAGTGTTGATTCTAGTGCTCGAAGTCGGGTTTGGGTGGATGTGTTCGAGTAATTAAGAGAGGGAGTTGGTGAATTGGGAAGGAATGTAGAGTTAAAGACTGTAAAAAGAGTACTAGGTTACGAGCTTGTTTGGAAGATGAAATGGAAGCGGGATGAATGTTTCTCTAAATTTCTTAGGTAGCTTTTGTGGATGGCAAGTTTGTATACGGACAATCATATTATAATCCTTATCAAGTGCATCAGTAATTGCACAAACTATTTCAGCATACAGCGTGTTCATTGATACAGAACCCTAGCGCGAGAGACTGCAGCTTGTCGAGCCATGTCTAAGTTCATTACCAACGGAGATAAACAGGGACAACACCCAACATCAACAGTGTAACGAAAAAGGAGAAAAAACATCAATTGGTAGAACGCTATGTACTGGCAACCCAAACAACGAGAGGGAGTGATTATGGTACAAGGAAAAGGAAAAAGATATCTAGGGAAGGGAGTGTAGACGAATCGAAAAGCGAAGTCTGAAAGGCGGGGGAAACAAAAAGATAAGAAAGAATGTGGGAGAAGGATAGGTAGAGAGGATGCTGTCGTGGGAACTGGCCCGCATTTTGGTGTTGTGCAGTTGCGTTGTCCTTTTTTGTACTGGACCGGCCAGGTACGTGCCCAGGTTGAATCTGGGCCTTGACAGCAGAGGGCGTGTAGAATGTGAGACATCAATGTGATCACCCAGCAACGAGGTGTGGATGTGAGGAACCACAGATAGAAGAAGAAAATCAAATGCTCGCTGGTGGTGAATGCTTCAAACGCTGGGTAGTTAAGAACGGTAGGGGAAGCTAAAATAGATATGCGGTTTTTGAGAATGTTGTGTGGTCGGATGGTAGAATGTAAGAGCGATTAGATGTCCATGCTCCAGCGCCAGGGACGGACAGGTTGTAACGAGCCCAGACCGACTTCATCGCGGTCATCTTCGTTGATCTCCAGATGCAGTAGGTGGATATTTTTGTTATCCTTGTGCATTGTTGAAAGCGTTTTGGAGATCTGCGGACGGTAGACCTTGTCATAATCATCCGCGGCTTTCGATTGTGGCCGTGATCTTGGGGTATCAGGGTACTTCCAATCCATACTAGGAGATCGATCATCGGTGTTTGTAGAGAACATAGAGTCTGATCGAGAGTGTAATGTCGGGTCGAAATCATCATTGTCGACACGGAGTCGACTTAAAGATGGTTGGCGTGGTAATTGTTGTTCTGTGGTATCAGACGGCCCATCACCGGGCTTGTTGCTGGTCTCTTCCTTGGCCACGTTCTTCGCGGCCTTGGAACATTGCTCGTCAGCCGCTCCACTAATACTATCACGAGCCGGCACATTAAAACTTTCTTTTCCGGCCATCACTCGGGCACTTGGCGGTGGCTGTAGCATCCATCTTGTTTCAGCCCGGCTGCAAGGTCCACTAACAATGGGTGGATGGAGATCGTTCACGGGAGGCACACGGGCGATGTAGTACTTCGAAGTTTCGTTCGGGTCCGCACGGCCACGACCAGAGAACCCAATGGACGAGCCTTGCACTTCCTGGCCCCAAAGCGGTTCATCTTCTCGCTGGTATCGCATAGATTTCCACTTCTCGCCGAGCGGGTGCATCAAACCACCACTCTTGTCCTTCTTCAGCTGCGAGCTCTGGTCCGTATGCCAGCTATCGGTGCGGTGGTTATTGTTTCGAAGACCACCTCGGCGGGCTGGAGGCCCAGGGCCCAAGGCGATCTCCTCTCGCCAGCCTACATTGGTGCTGAAGGGGGTTGGTTGCGGGAACGGCCGGGGTTGGTCGGTGACGATCTCGGTGCATTTCTCCCTCTCTCGCTGTGCTCGAATGGCGTCCTTCTTACGTTTTCGACGGTCGACACCCTCGGCGCAGGGGGTACAGGTAACGTAGTAGAAGACAGCGGACTGGGCGCCCCGATAGAGCCACATGGCCGACGCGGGGGCGGGGATTCAGAATAGAATTGATTCCTGGCTTATAGGGTAAACAGACACTCACGACGGGCTGTCAGCCCGGGAGAACTGCTGGATTTGACCCGGTATTCGCTCGTTGTGTTGCAGTGATACTATCGGACACATGAGGGCTGAATGGAGCGGATAGGGGGAAAGCCGCGGAAAGGGGAGAGGGGAATTGGAGATCGCCCAGCGATCGTTAAATGAAAAGGTAAGAAATAATTCAAGAGAGAGAGAGTAGGGTGAGAGGGTAAGAAAGGAAGACGAAACGCAATTAGGAGGTTTGAGGGGGGTCGGTTCTTTCTGCCTGGTGTTTCGCCTTTAGTTTCTCCCGAGTAGTCAACGCTGCTTGCAGCCCAACCTATGCATATGTGCTGACCGCTCTGCTTTCTAAGTTAAGTTACTACTAAGTATGGACATGTACAGTAATTTAACTTGCACCAGCTCATATGTACACCTCACATTGCCACCGGAACTGCCCTATTATGTGCCAAGGCACAGGGGCATGCGATCGGGGACGCCAGGAGGGGCTTTAGATTTGAATGCTGACCTGCATTGTGATACGAATGCCCAGAGTACGTCCAGGGTAAATTACTTCTCTTTCGCATTAATTTTTTATCATATAACCCCTGTCCCAAGCCTTGGCGTCTTGCCGCGTGGAGTACAGACGGGATGTAGCCGCAAACGTCTAATCTCCTGAAAAGGAGAGATAGAGAGTAAAAAGATAGAGTAGAAAGATAGAAAGGTAGTGTTTATGCAAGCCCCTAGATGCAATGTAAGATGACATTCTTCCTCGAAGAACGTAGGGGTTTTGGCCCCAACCTCCCGCCTCATACTTGGTGAATGGAGTACAATCCGACCCCTGTTGCCAATCTCTGTGCTCTGTGCTCTGTGCTCTGACCCCTGCAAAGCTCATTTGACCAATGCGAGAATGCCGAGCTCATAGAAAACTCATTTGAAGCCCTGATGTATCTTGGATTGCATCATTGCATGATGTAGCAAAACCGCAGCTCGCAGATCGCCAGAGCGACCAGAGAAAACAATTCAAACGGTGGATCGACATTCAACACCGTACAAGCGCGTAAAGGTCACATCCACGGTGGATGTGCATGACATGCCAAGGGTCTCTCGCAACACCGGCAAACTCCAGGCCCGAGTCATCGCCTCGCTGGATCATTATATCGCATGCAAATGGTTTCCCTCCCAGAACGCCCGAAAATCGACAATCGAAAATATCCTCGTGTAGCGACTGCTCATGCATTCTTTGTGTCCCTGATTACCTCACCCTTCACCTTGGCCCAGTCAATATCACTGTCGATTTTCTCGTCGACTTCACCGCAGATTACCACATTATCTCCGCGGATCAAGTAGAGGCCGTGCTCAATTTGAGATGAGGGCTCGTCATCATCTGGGGTGCGGATGATGCGTTCAATGGTGTTGGAGAGGACGAGGTTGGTCAGTTGGTCAGTTGACAGCAGTGTCCCGAGGAGTGTGCGGCCGTCCACTGTGAGAATGAGGACTTGTTCTGTTTGCGCGGGTTAGCTGTGGAACTCATAGGTTAAGTGGGCTGTAAGACTCACTATTTATGTAGTGGCTGAGGGACATGGTGGGCGGTTAAACAGTGCAGAGGATATCGGTTTGAAGGTCGATTGGATTTAATTATGCACTGCTGGGTCGTGTATCAATCCTTGTGTCAAGCTCGATTGTGCTCCTGCAGCCGGACCTGGGGGGTATCCGTTTTGCGTTGCGTGGGTGAAGAGAAGCCGTCGTTCACTTCACGTTGTCCGTCACTTCGCGCAAAAAGCGTTCGGCCGATATTAAAGGTTTGAAAATGATCGTGTTGTTCTGGAGAAAAGATAAGATAGACTCGGGGAGGTCGCGGAGGTTTGTTGGAGGAGGGTCAAGCTGTCAAAGCTGTGTTCAAAGTCGGCGCCACTTCAATGCGAAATGAGGGCAAAGGCTTAACGGGTATCAAGTTGTAAAGTGGAGTTCGTGTGGACAATAAGATAGTAAAGGAGGATGACACGACTTGCGCAACGGATAGGACTAGTTGGACTTGACTTGGTAGTTTTCCATTGACATCTCCGATTCGATCACGTGCAGAAAGCTTAGCTTGGACTCAGATAGGAAGACTGCTCTACTCCGTGATATATTGCTCACCCAAACAAGTAGAAAGAGGTTGCTACAATAATATGGTTTACACGAAGCTATAAGAAAAATGTATGTGTAGCAATTCACTATGTGTGCACGATATCGCCCGCAATTTCCCATGCACTCGAATCAGCCTCTCAAAGAAGCCAAATCCAACGGCACACTGCTGCCTCTTCCAGCACGGTACCTGCGTTCTCCACCGACAAAAGGCCGTGGCTTGGGCAGCAAACCATCGCCATGGAACTTAAATCGAGTATCTTCTATTCGGACTGCGCCATGTGTTGAGGGACTGCGAGAGCTTGGCGCAGGGGATGATCCACCATTGGTGAGTGTGTAAGCACTGGGATCCAGGGTAGCAAATGGTTCATGAGAGGGAGGGTGAGAGGTAACGGGAGATGGGGCTGAAGGAGGACCACTCGGAGGCGGTGGTGGTGGAGCTCCTGGAGCAGATGATGGAGGTGGTGGAGGAGGCGCTGAAGGTGATTGATGGCCCAGGGCGGAGCGGGCAGCCTGCGCGGCAATTGATGGGGGTGCTGATGGAGGAGGAGGTGGTGGAGGTGTTGATCTAGATGGTGCCGGCGGCGGGGGAGGTGCCCGACTCGCGGGGGCTGCTGGAGGAGGTGGCGGGGGACCGGACGGTTTTCTCGACGCAGGCGGAGGAGGGACCTTGCCTGGTGGTGGGGGAGGAGCGCGCGGAGGTGGCACTTCTGGAGCCTTTGCAGCTGGTGCAGATACCGTAGATGAAGGTCTTGAAGCAGGTCTCGGGGGAGGCTTTTTCAAGCCGGCAACCAAAGGATTGACTGGCGGTGCGGGTGGTGATTCCGTGGATGGTGGAGGGGGTGGTGGCCTAGCCCCAGGAGGTCTGGGTGCTGTTGGAGGTTTAGGTGCCGGGGCAGCAGGCGGTCGTCGCAATTCGCCATCAGACATATATGGCGATTCGCGATTGGCACCTGTATCAACTCCCCCACGACTGCGTAGTTTGGGCATTCCACCTGCAAATAAACCACCTAGTTGAGCTGCAGGTGCACCAGCCCCATCACCTCCCCCGGATACTCCTTCACTGTTGCTTCGCAATCGGTTCGCGGTTTGGCCGGAGGGAACAGGTGGTGCAAGACCAGCCGGGGGTCTCATGCCAGGAACAGGAGGCGCGCCCGCAGGAGGAGGAGCTGCAGAACCCCCTCCTGTCTTGCCTAGTACAGGCGCTGATCGATCATTGGTGACTGCCTTCTTCAGCCTCGCGCCTTTGTGAATATCAGACAAAAGTGCGCCCTATTGTCAACCAGTCAGCCTCCCTTGGCAACAAGAGCCTAATGGCTATATAGATTGAGCTTCCCATCGACTTACCCGATCTTTAGTAACCCCTTTTGGCGGTCTATTTGGGAGGTTTCCTGGAGGGGGCGGCGGGGGACCGCCAAAACCTCCCGGCGGCGGCGGCGGCGGGGGAGGAGGCGGTGGTGGTGGCATGATAGGGAGGAGCAGTGAGAGTATCGGATGGGAGAGATAAGTTCGAGAAGATCAAGATGTAAGGATGGGCAACTTGAGCAGAAAAAACAGTTGTTAGGCAGAGAAGTAAGAAGACGTCAGGGTGTACGGGGAAGTGGACAGCGCCGGGGCGAAGTCTCCGCTTAGAACATCTCCCATCGAAAATCACCTACCAACACCCACTCGCCGCCATGAAAAGAGTCGCCTTAACAGCCCAAAGGGGAGCCCGGCCAAAGGGCTCGATCTGTCAATTGTGTCAATTCTCGACTTCTGCCCGTCGCGGTCTCCCTCTCGAGCGACCAACTCCCGAGAGTCGATCCCAGGCATCCGATCTCCGCCTACAGGAGTCGAAGCGTAGTAGCCGGTTGACCTTGAACTCTCCCTTACTCAATGCGCGCCGATATGCTTCCGCTTCAGCCCAGACGGACCCAAAGGTGGCAATTAAAGAAATCGCGCAGGATGCATCTGCCGTGCACAAATCGGACGCCGTGCCTGCCAACGAGGTAGTGTTAGGATTGCTACAAAGATGTCGACGAGTTGCCGAGTCCCTGGTCTCGCCATCGTATCAAAGCGAGGGGTCATCAACTGGCAAGGGCAATGCGATCTCTTCCCTACTGGACCTGGAGGAGAAGCAAAACGCCGCAAAGAGCAAAGGTCAGGCACAGTCCTCACAACAGCCTGACCCGCAACTCGCAGAGTCGCTCTCACAGATCGCCAATGCACTTATGAAGGATGAGAAGGTCTTCATTTCACCCGAAGCCCTGGAGTGCTACACCGAGACACAGACCCTCCTACGCCGGGCCGAGCACTTCCCTGAGATCTTCCACCTCTACGCCAACAAACCCGTACCAGAGGAGAACAGCTCCCCAGTGAAGTTCATCAAAGCCAACCCGAAGAGCGTCAACAGCGCCATACCCGCTGAGCTAGCCAACAAGGCCCTGGAAGTTGCCATCGCGCAGAAAAACCTGTCGCTAGTATTAGCCATCATCGACAACACCTTCTGCGCACCGGCCTTCCACCGCGCAAAGGTCTTCAAGAAAGCAGGTGTCCCCCTGGTCGGTCTGGCTGCTGCCCCTGCTGCGTGCTACGCCGTGGCATCCTGGGCAGCCACCTTCCAAAACACAATGGATCCAAATGTCGCGACTGGAATCGCGTTCGCTGCGACGCTGGCTTATGTCGGTGGTACTTCGTCCATGGGTATCTTGGCCATTACCACGGCTAATGACCAGATGGAGCGTGTTGTATGGATCCCTGGTATCCCTCTGCGGCAACGGTGGTTGCGTGAGGAGGAACGCGCTGCTATGGATAGAGTTGCTGTTGCGTGGGGTTTCAAGGACCCTTATATGCGTGGTGAAGAGGTTGGTGAGGAGTGGGAGAGTCTGCGTGAGTTTATTGGTATGCGCGGCATGATTCTGGATAAGACGGAACTCATGCAGGGTATGGAGTGATTGGATTACCTGTATGTACCATAGAACCATCTATTTTTATGTAACTAGCAATGTAATGTACAACATTGAATCTACAAGACCACAACTATCATTCCTTTCGCTTTATGATGTCATCCCGCCATTGTGATTGCGGCTGCGAGCACTCTTATGCATATGTTAGCAGAAAGAGTACCGGAATGAGGCGAATTTACGTTTACATTTACAATAGACAATTTACGATATCAAATATTGAGACCAACTATGAGCTTCATATTTTTTTTTCAGTCGTGAGACTAAGACTTAAACCCAGTTCTCAATCTAACTATAAACTCCAGCGCAGCGAAGCGACAGAGCATCTAGTAGACGCGGTGGGGAGGAGACATGGAAGCCTTGATGACAAGGCTGCCAACGTTCTGCCAGCCCTTCTTGAGGAGGGAGACAAGGTAGTTGATGGCGAGCATCAGGTTGGCAACAATGGCCTCCTTCTCCATGTCGACGTTGCCGATGGCAACACCGAGACACAGGACCTTCTTAAGCTGGAACTTGATGGTGGACTTGACGTCGGTAACCTTGGCGGCCATGTCCTCAGCGTGGGAGACGGGGGTGGGGAACTTGCCAGCTGTAGACGGAGTCAGTATGCGAAAATTTTGGATCATTGGTAGGACGAATCGCAGAAAGACATACCCTTGGAGAGACCGGGACCGAGCAGACGGGGAATCTGCTTGATCAGACCCTCGGAAGCGAGGAAAGCATCGTACTTGCGAGCGAGCTTCTTGATGAGCTTCTTGTTCTTGTTGAGCTTCTTCAGGTCGTCAACGGACATGGCATCGAGACCGTGGTGCTTGGCACGATCGAGATCGTGCTGGTCACCAAGAATACTGTAAATCGCTGTTAGCTGCATTATTCGATTATTTTGCTCTGCTATGTCGATATCCGTCGCTTCCGAATTCATGGATGCAAAGAATTTCGATTCGCGGGGTCGGGAAAACGCACCAGATGGCCATCTGAGGACGGGGGACGGTAGGCAGCTTGATGGTACCAGAGAAACGCTTGTCACGCTGGGGGTCGTAGTTCTTCAGACCGATCTGGAGCTCAACGGTCTCGGTGAAGTTACGCTTCTTCTCATTGAGAGAGTAGTTGAGAAGGTTCTCGACATTCTGGCGCACTCCGGCTGTAAGAGACAAGAGCAGTTAGTGGCAAGGTCAAGTACAGTGTAGCAGAGATTCAAACATACCGACTGTGATCTTCGACATGATTGCTACAGTCTTCCAAAAGAAGTTGAAATTCTTATGGTATGGCTCTGCGCTGAATGCTTAAGAAAAGAAATTGTCGAGGGCCGTGAATTTCTCCGCTTGTGGGTGTGGGCTGGCGCTAAACTGGATAAGGCTTAGCGGTGCCCTAAATTTGACGCTGAGTCATCTCTAACATCAGGCAACAAGGCATCAGTCTACTTCGTAACCGTGAGTATAATTTCCTACATCAGACAGTTCAACAGAGAAATTGTCAGTAACCCTTCCTAGTTAGGTCAATTAGATATTCACTGATTACATGCAGTGTACAGCTGTCTATCTATTCATCCATCTGGAGATTAACGTCTCGTACCATCGCCGTGTATGGTGACGAATCCATCACTGACTCTTCCCTCGCCTCAAATCCCACTTGCTCATAGAATAGTTGTGCACTAGTGGCTGCTTGACTGGCCTGAAGGACGATGCTTGCATTCCACGCTCCCAGGTTCTTGGCTTCATCGCGTACATGACCAACTGCGGCTTCTACCAACTGCTGACCGTGACCCTTTCGTCGAGCATGAGGCAAGACAAACATCCCCGCAATGAGATAAACAACATGAGCACCTGAATAATCACGTGGCTTCAGGGCCTGTTGGGGTACGTCTTTTGCTTTAGTGAAAAGATCCCAGGTTTGAGATATTGCATCGCCATCTTGTCTAGACCATATTTCCGGTCCGAGGAGAGTGACTGTGCCCACCCATTCAGTCTGAGGCAAATTTTGAAAGCCCTTTGCTTTTGAGTGGTCACTCCCAGTAGTATCTGGACCTATAGTTTTGCTTGATATCTTATCATTACCGTCAAGGACGGAGACGAACGTCTTGGCAACGGGGTTCTGGATTCGAGATCGCCATATATCCAAAGTGAACTGTGATTCTCGTTCAAATGTGGAAGAAAAGGAGTTTGGATCTGACAAAAGACCTTGGAGTCGGAGGCCCTTGTAATGGTTGGCTATGTCATCGAGATCAGCGGGTGTAGAAAAGGTTTTTGGGAGAAGTATGACTTCTGGTGTACGATGCGAGGAAGACATTGTGCAACTTTTTGATTCGGGTACAGAGAATGCAATATGGACTTCACAAATAGATGTGCGATATTTTCATGTCTTTAACACACGAAATGAGTAACTTTGAAAGTATTAGTGCGGGGTGACTCATAGTTCAATGGTGTGGCTGCGACAGGGAGCTTACTACAAATACGAAAGAGAAATATCGCAATTAATTTTCATGTGAAGGCCTCTACTCGTAACCATTACCCATGATCCTCAAATTGTAGCCTTGAAGCGTGCATCAGGCCGCTCCAAAATGACTATGACAATGCACCTATGCGGGCACAGACGGCATCAAAGTCAAGTCTAGATCCTGCCAATCCCAGATCCGATCAACTGCCCGATATCCCCATTTAAAGTATTGTCTTATCGCAAGTACGCCTACTCAAATAAAAAGAGCACATTGGACCGCAGACATGGTTGCCTACATCGAAAGGTACTATTAATTACAATTGCTTAGACTACCTTGCCTTCGCAATCTGGTCGATGGAGCCGAACGCGTTTAGATTAACCGAGCTTGACCTCCAAGCTGATGCACTGGTCCAAAGCGGGCATCAGAAGCCTGATCTTGTTCATGGCGACAAATAAAGGAAGCGCTTGCATAGCCACAAAATTACGGATCTGGCATGGAAAACCGCCACAATTAGACAGGTGACAAGACCGATTCACAATGAAATAAATAATCAGTCGTTATCAAGATCATCCCTTCTGTTGTCTCTGGATTCTGCTAGTCAAGTTCTGGGTTATAATCTTGCTGCCGGGGATACACATGCCATCCATTTAGAATACGAGGATCAACACCTTCAAGAACATTAAGTCCTGGCAGTTTGGCGTCTTTTTCCACGCGCCAGTTGCTCAACTTGGGTATCGACATCCAGATCAGAGTTGTGGTCGAGATAGGGAGCACCTGGATGCATGGCTTGTCCGCGCCCGTAAATCCGGAGAGACTCAAGGGTAGGCGGGATAAGATCAACCAGATTTAAAGATTTTGAGTCAATGCGGCTCTTGCCGTCTCCTGCACCACGAGCTAGATAGCATAGTGTATGGTCTCCAATAGTTAGATGCTTGAGTTGTGGAAAGTCTTTCAAGGAGACGCGCGGTGGTGGAGGAATTTCTGGTGCGGCTATCTCCCGCAGTTCGTCTGTCCATAGCTCGTCATATTCCTCCTGCTCCTCATTGCCGATCCCTGCATCATCATCAGGTTGATATTCCTCATCATAGAGTTCCTCCTGAGGTGTATAGCCCTCCATATCCAGATTCGTCTCCAGGGTCTGCCCATACATCCAAAGGGACTTAAATATTGGAGTCACGCGTGACATGGGTATATAATCCTCGGGCATACAACGACCCCCAACGGTGTTAGTAAACCTTTCCAAAGTCTTGACAGATTCAATTATACGGCAAAGATCCCAAGTTATCATCGCAGATCGTGTAAAGCTAATCTTGCTGTAGTTGGCGGAGCGGGGAGGAGGCGGTATTCCGGCTTCATTGCTCTACATTGACAGCTTGAAGGCTACCGATTCAAGGGCTGGTAATTTACGAACCATGTCGAGCCGATGAAAATATTCCTCTTCCATATACTCGTTGTGTATGTCAAGGTAATCGTGAGGGTGGAAGCTAATGTTTCAAAACATAAATTTTGGCAGTACATGATGCGGATGGGCGAGCTGGTTGTCCTGCCTTTTGATCCACCATTTTGCTAGGTGAATAGGGCATCTGTAGACTCGGAGCTATTACCGAGTATCGGGTGTAGTTGCGTGCATTGAAGAAATTGAGATTTCATCTGTAAGAATATGCTGAGACCAGAAAGGGTCGTGGGTGATAAAGAGCCGCTGCGGACCGCCCCGCATTCCGTTGGCGATACGTGCGTAGTTCCAAGGTTAGCTCCATACTACAGTATTACTCTTTAGTTTAAACGTGTTTAACTTTTTGATATGTGCATTATGTTATCCTAGCTATGGTACTTAGTGTTTAAGATAAAATTGTTCGGAAATAATAAGCGCCGGACCCAAGATCTAGATCAACACAAGGTCATACTGCATATCAACACAAGCAACAAATAGCTGAGGACTATTAAATTTAATGATATCACTCAAAAAGCGATCAACTGGACACACACAAATATATGCAGATCCTTAGATTCGTCATGCACATCTGACCTACACCTAGCATGGAAGCAATATATATCCATACCAAACACTGAGGTAGTACTAGCTAACCGCTCATCTGACACCCAAACAGTCAAGCTTCAGTCAAGCGGGGCAAGTGACGCAAAACGCAATACAATAGGCCAAAGAATATCTGAAGAAACCCGAACAAACCTAGGTAAAATGAGCTTGACAGAATGTTGGGGCGGATGATCGTGGCGCTTAAGCGTGACCGTCAGCCTCAGATGACTGCGGTTCATTTTAAGACCTGCAAGTCCCCCAATTCCCGTTCCATAACTTGAACTGATATTCTTCTTATTTCCAGGTTTCTTGATTTGTGTTGATTTGACTTAGACCGGCAGGTATATGTACAGTATACTCCTCGTCCGCACGGGACGCTTGTATGACTCTTGCCGTGACCAGCCTTCTCCTCTACACCCTACACCCCGTGACACAACACGACCTGTCTAAATATTGTATGAACTCTGTGTTCTCCTTTATCGAGTCTTCATCTTTTTCAGCGTTTCGCATACTGTGATTTTTCTCCATCATGGCCGAAACTGTGTATTCTCGCGATCCTACAGCGCCCCTGGACTACTACTCCAGTCTGGATGGTGGGGGTCCACTGGTGGATAAATTTAAAGACATCGATGACAAGATCCAGTTTATTACTGCTATGCGCCGACTTGAGGATCCACTGACGGGGAATTTCGTGCTGGATTTTGGGAACGACGATGCGTGGTGTGCGAGCGATTTGAATACGGAGGAGTTCAAATTATTGCTTGGCAAGCCGGTATGCTTCTGATTTGGATCTGCACCCCCTGTGAATATATGAACAGGAGCTGATGGTTTACTTGACAGAGAGCCAAGTGTTTTGGTACACGGTGGATGTAAGCGCTATTGTTACTTTCCCGAGAACGAGTGCTGTCGGGCTGACTGCTACAGTAATATCTGGGCACCAGAGGAACAGAAGGAAACCATTAAGGTGAGAGGCTTCATTTCTATTTTGTGATCAGACCGAGCTAAATTAATCAGGCTATTACTACACACTACGGAGTATCAGAACGACTACAGGGGATGATGTGTACAGAGCCAGTGCGGCCTGCACCACCACCGGCAACGCCATCACCAAAGAAGAGATTCTCACAATCGCGAGACTTCGAGTCCTCAATTCATGAGATTGATGACCCCGAGAATGCGCTTAAGAATATCTCCGACCATGACCAAGCGCATGAGTCTGCATCATTCAAAAACTTGACTTTCGCACAAGTCACCGACCAGATCTGGCATTTTTCGTCTGTGGATCATGGTCCACGATGTGAGTTGGTTCCCCAGACGGGTCGAGATGCATGCTAAACAGAGTTAGACACTTGCATCGGTTATAATACTTTATTTGTGATTCCCAAGATTCCAATGCCGAATGGCAAGGGTCTTCCAGATGGAAAGAGGCTTTGGACTTGGTTAATCCAATGCGATGATGGTATGTGATTTGTGGGATATAACGTGAAGCAGAGTAGGCGCTGACTTGCCCAGGCACGATCGTTTCGATTCAAGAGAACCCGTTCCCAAGACCGGAAGTGATGCCCTTGATAGAGAAAACCAAGCCCGTTCTTGATATCGTGCGCCGAAACGTCCGATTTATCTTTGCCGGCGTGTCAAGACAGCACTTAGCCATGTCGGAAAGCGAGTCGCTAATCACAATCCGGGTACGACATTTCAACGACCTCGGGCCCGACCAAGCCAATATCAAGCAAGAGGATGGACCGAGTTTGCTCTTTTATTATATCTTCGACGACTGGGTATCAAGTTACGGTCTGATTGCGAAGCGGGAGCACAAATACGGCGTTGCGCTCGAGGAACTGGTAAGTAGCGGACGTTAGTAAATGTCGGATATAGCTGACTCTGTGCAGAGAGGCCAGATGCTTGAACGCCCGATCGTGGACCTAGTGAACGAATTGCACTGGTTGGGCCGGCGACTCGCAGTTCTCAAACGGTTATACCAGAGCTACGAACTCATTATGCGACGCCTGCTGCAGCGACAACGTATGCTCCGCGACGAAGCTCGCTCTTTCCACCCCACCGCATTCCCGTATGGTGCCACCTTTGGTGATATGGAGTTTGTCGAATTGCGCCAGTCCAGTCTTGTGAGCAACACCGGTATACCCAGTACCACGGACAAATCAGTGGGGGTGCAGTTGAGCTCGACGGCCGTGGCGCGGTTCGAACGGTTGGTGGATCGTATTAATCTGTATTGTCTGAGCGAGATTGAGAGCTGTCTCAATGAGAAGGAGTCCATGACGTTCCTGGTGAGTATTCCCCGTTTCTCAAATGTCCACATGTGGACCACTGCTGACTCCACAGAACTTCAATTTGATCGCCCTCAAAGACTCGCAAGCCGTTGAGAAACTGACCCGAATCACTATCCTGCTGGCGAAAGCGACCATTTTGTTCCTACCCGTCAGCCTGATGAGTGCATATTTCTCGACGGAACTCAAGGGCGTGAAGGGTGGATACACCAAGACGGATTACTGGGCGAGTTTCGCGGTGATCTTCGTTGTGTCCATTCTGCTGTTGACAGTTTTTGGATATGCTAGCGATACGGTGGAAGGCAGGACTATTTATCGGTCTATGGCGAAGACCTTCTTTCGGACCACACGCAGGAAGATGATGGGGACGGAAAGATGAGGATAAACACCATGACGCGTGTTGTGGGCTGGAACCATGGCTCTTTTTCTGCCCAGACGGTGAGATAAGTTCTCGGCCTTGGGGCCTTGAGGCCTGGGAGCCTGGGAGCCTGGGAGCCTGGGGGTATTTGACTTACGGGCCAACACCGTGTCCTTTTTGATACGCCCCATTCTTAGGCACCTACTTTAGTACAGTAGACAGAATAATAGCTTATTTCGAGGCTGTGTAGATAGGCAGTGATATTGTCTGATTCTCACTCTTTTTTATACTCCCCTGACGTGCTCCCACCTCACAAGGCAGTCAGATTGGGTGACAAAGCCTCCCGCGTATTTCGTAAAACAAAAATACACAATTCCCCCTTAGTCCTTAAGTCTCTTAGTCTTAATCTCTTGACACTTGACTCTCACTCTTGATTCTTCCCCTATCTCTTCCCCATCCACCTTATACCTTTTTCTGCCGGTAAGTGACTCGGTGGCTCGTGCCCGCCCCCCCCTGACCCTCTGACCGACAAGTCCACAACACGTTTTCCAACCCCTCCGCTTTTCCCTTTCAACCATATCCCTTGATATCTGACCTCAACCCAGACGTCCTTCCACAAATATGGGTATCACTTTCTCGCGGCTGTTTGACAGACTATGGGGTCGCAAGGAGATGCGAATCCTGATGGTCGGTCTTGATGCCGCCGGTAAGACCACCATCCTCTACAAGCTCAAGCTTGGTGAAATCGTCACCACCATCCCCACGATCGGTCAGTCCGCCCTTCCACCCGCGCGCTGGGTTCGCATATCCACCCCCGACATTGGAAACTGATTTGGTGCAGGCTTCAACGTCGAGACCGTCGAATACAAGAACATTCAGTTCACCGTGTGGGATGTCGGTGGTCAGGACAAGATCCGTCCTCTGTGGCGCCACTACTTCCAGAACACCCAGGGTATCATCTTCGTGGTCGACAGCAACGATCGGGATCGTATTGTCGAGGCCCGTGAGGAGTTGCAGCGCATGTTGAACGAGGACGAGCTCCGTGACGCTCTCCTCCTGGTCTTCGCCAACAAGCAGGATCTGCCCGTGAGCACCCCCGATTGATTCCCAAATCGATACATCAGACTGATTCCCCGCTTTTCTAGAACGCCATGAGCCCCGCCGAGATCACGCAGCAGCTTGGTCTCCAGAGCCTTACCCGCCGCTCCTGGGTAAGTGATCCATTGTCCCCTATCTCCCTATGGCGACCATCGCTAACCCGTCTAGTTCATCCAATCTACTTGCGCTACCACTGGTGACGGTCTGTACGAGGGTCTCGAATGGCTCGCCGATGCGCTCCGCAAATCCGGACGTGATTAAGCTATAATGCGAACGAGAATCGGGGATGTAGCGAGGAAGACAGAAATCTGCAAATGATGATGACAATGGGGAGTTCTTTGCGAGGCCATGACGTTCTTCGTAGGGGGTGTTCTGCTGGCTTGTTCTCTTCAATGGCCATTTTCCTCCTATGCTATTAGCCTCATTTGTTTTTCCAAAAATTGCTCTCTGTTTTACTTGGTCCAGAGATCTGTACAAGTATGGTAAACCGAATATCGAGGCAATGGCAAATTAGTTCTCCATTTTTAGAAACAAACTATATGCGTAACTCATTCTTGGCATTCCCTGGACTTGTTGTATTTTATAGACAAACATTGACATTGTTAGTATATTTGCTACAGAGTAGACTGCTAGTACACTGCCGGCTGTATTGTGTTGTTCCCCCACTGACGTCGTGGACAGGATACTGGGGTTTGCACACTGGGCCGATTGCCTGGCCGACGATCGCCAACAAGCCCGCCAACATACGCCTCATCGCGTGCATCCTCATTTCCCTTCAACAACCCCCCCTGATTCACGATCCTCCAGTTCTCAATCCCTATATTCGTCACAAGTAACCTCAACTAATTGAGTGGTTCACCTTGTTGTTCAATGTTGACGTCCTGCCTGGCATCATGACCGTCCAGGCGAGGAGGCACTCAGCAGCCTACAAGTCCCCATCACCCTATAGCGCCCGACAAGATACAGATATCGAAAAGCAGCCCACTCTCGGCCGCCACACATACCACCACCACCCGAGCGATGACTCCGACGACGAATCGCTAGACGACGACTCCAACGTCGCAGACTCGTACCCGCCGCCCGTCGTGACCGGCGCAGGTCTCCGTCGTGCCCAAGCAGGTGTCGGCTTTCGCGTGCCCCAGCGCATCATGCGATGGCTGTGCTTCGCTCTCTTCGCTGCGCTCGTCCTCTTCATCCTCACTCTCTTCCGCTTCACTCTCTCTGGCTCCGTGTCACAAGTCGCAGTGGAGCTGCCCAAGGTCGTGGCATCGAAGCCGCCACAATGGGAGAGCTTCCCTTTCCTGTCTCGCTATGAGGGTGGACTGTCATCGCTGGTCTCTCGCAAGGACAATGTCCCTGAGTACCCTGGCGATGGCTCTGAGGAGCTGGCCCTGCGGACGGACCAGAGCGACGAGCAGGAGGAACAGGATGCCAACAAGGTGAACAAGAGAGATCTGAGACTTAGTATGCAGAGCTCTGTGTTCAATCCTTACCCTGATTACCAATCGCCGGAGTACGTGCAAAAATATGGCGAGAAGCGGGAATGCTTCCTCGACAAGGAAAACACACTGCGGGTCCCGTCTGTCCAGAGCTACCCCGGTGTTCCAAAGGGCTTCCCGGAGCCGGCTATGGGCTCGAATACAATGTTGGGTATTCGGGATGACATGTGCTTTGACCGATTTGGTCGCCTGGGCCCTTACGGATTTGGATACGGAGCCAAGAAAGGTGGCTCTGGAGCCGGTTTGGAGGGCCATCGTGATGGTGCTGAGCGTGTGTGGGAAGACGTGCCCCCTGTTGACTTCCGGCCGGTGGATTGGGCTGGTGCGCAGAACCGCTGCCACGCAGCTAACCGCCACCGATTCAATGCGCTACCGGAGCCGCGTCTTGAGCGGTTCGTTTCCATGCCGGTGGGCGTTCCTAAAGTGAATATTCCCGAGCCTGAGGAGGATTCTCGCACGGCGCCGCCCAAGACTGGAGCTGAGAAGTTGCCGCGCACTGCGGTAGTTATTCGCACTTGGCACGACTTTGATTACTCTGCTGAGGATATCATGTACCTGCGCTCTGTGATCTCGGAGCTCTCACTCAACTCTGGTGGCGAGTATACCGTACACTTCTTGGTTCATGTCAAAGATACCAACTTGCAGATCTGGTCGGACGATGAGACTTACCAGCGTGTGCTGCATGATTCCTTGCCTGAGGAGTTCCGTGGCATGGGAACCCTCTGGTCAGAGCCCCAGATGGCACTCATGTACCCCGGTCTGGAAGAAACCAATATGCGCGGTTTGCCAATTCACGGCGTCTACCGCAGCACCTATATGCCCATGCAATACTTCGCCTTCCAACACCCAGAGTACGACTACTTCTGGAACTGGGAGATGGATGCTCGCTACACCGGTCACTGGTACCACCTCTTCGACAAAGTCGGCGAATGGGCTAAGAAGCAGCCACGCAAGGGTCTCTGGGAACGCAATGCCCGCTTCTACGTGCCCTCCGTACATGGCTCGTGGGACGATTTCCGCCAAATGGTCCGTGTGCAGACCGAAATTGGCACCAACTCAAAGAACAACATTTGGAGTGCCATGAAAGAAGGATCCGATAAGGGCAGCCCTCTTCACCAGTCAGGCGACCGATCAATCTGGGGCCCCGAACGTCCCGACGAACGAGACATTTTCGAAGTCGAAGGCGAAGGCATCCCGCCTACAAGCATGGACAAGGACCAATACCAATGGGGCGTTGGCGAAGACGCCGACCTAGTCGTCTTCAACCCCCTCTACGATCCCGAAGGCACAACCTGGATCCTGCGCGATGATGTAACGGGTTACAACCGTGAAAAGGGCATGCCTCCCCGTCGCACGGCAATCATTACCGCCTCGCGTATCTCTCGAAAACTACTCACTACTATGCACCGCGAATGCTCTCTCAAGCGCCACAGCATGTTCTCAGAAATGTGGCCGGCCACAACAGCCCTCCATCATGGCTTCAAGGCCGTCTTCGTTCCGCACGCCGTGTATGTCGACCGCCGCTGGCCGACGCGCTACCTTGAGTCCGTGTTCAACGCCGGCCGGAACGGTGCTTCGGGCGGTGCCCGTACTTCCATCTTCGGTGATCGCGAACACAACTTCCGCGGCACGACATGGTTCTACTCCGCAGGATTCTCACCAAACCTCTGGCGCCGCTGGCTTGGACTGCGAGTTGACAATGATGGCGGAGAGCAGCAGGAGCTTGCAGGCGAGGGGCGGATGTGTCTCCCCCCTATGCTATTGCACCCTGTAAAACAAGTAAATATGATCATTGATGACGGGGAGAAGGCCGAGGACCGATAATAGCCTCGCCTCCCCACCATACCCCAAGTTGCGTCTGGTTCCACACTACCCTACCCTAACTTGTATAATGCCCCCAACTCCCACTCCCACTCCCACTCCCTCCCATCCCTCACAGCGACATATTGTCAGCCACGTTTTGATCTCTTCTCATGTCCGATTTTGGTGCGAAAAAGGCGTTCCATTTGCGGTTATACGGGCCTATCTGGCTCATGATGCATTCCCGATTTTGATCCTCTAGAGTTGAAACTCTACATTGTTGTTGTTGCTGTTACTGTCTTCCGGTTCTAGCAATTAGAGACTTCCTCTAGAATGTGATTGGTCTCATTTCTGCCTAGCACTAAGTTAGGTAGAATGCAGATTCCTCTCGTTTTTCTGTTTTTTTGGTTAACGTTAGATGGATTGGATGGGATTGGTTGATGGACATCCTACGACACTGCCTACTAGGACTTGATTTTTGGTTATAGATTGGATGGTCCTATGCACATAATTCATATTTTTGGGTTCGAGTTTGGTCTCGGTTTTTCGTAATTGTGTAGTCTGGATGATTTGATTTGATTTGATCACTTAGATGAATGATAGAAATGATAGATGTCGTTAGCTAGTAGTTGAATAGATCAGATGCGATATGACATGCAATGCAGTACGCCAGAACAGAACACCATACCCAAATAGCAATGCAGATATAATGTAAAAATCAATAGAAAAGCAGACCCAACCTTCCCAACTAACCATTATCTCGATAAAGTCGGACAAGAAAACCTCACACTATGCCCACTCCTCTTATGCTTCCCACCACTATCACCACCATTCCCATTACCCCCAGAAACAGAAGAAACAACCACACTAGCAGATGGCAACCTCTTCGACACCCCCTTCCTATCCACACCCCCACCACCACCCCCATTAACGCGCGTAGTGGAAACCTCCTCAGAACAAGACCTCATAGACCCCAACGGACTCCTAGCCACAAACTCAGCCGGCGCAAAACAAATCGAACACTCATAAACGCCAGCCTCATCAAGCCCAAACTCAAGACACGTCCTACAAACCCGATGAGCACATTTAGTCAAGAGAACCTCCATAGCCTCGCCATCCCCAACGCACGTATAGCAAAAATGCGTTGGATACTTGATGCGTGGAGATGTCTGGATCATGCGGCGTTCGATTTCGCTGGCTAGTTCTTTTCCTTTCTCCACGCGTGCGCGGAGGAGGTGGACCTTTTTGCGAAGGTTTGCTAAGGTGTGCGGGTTGTAGGGGTTGTCGGCTTGGTTGGTGGTTGATTTGGTGACTGGCACTGGCACTGGCTTATGGAGGGTTGGAACAGGCTCTAGGAACATGACTGGTCGGAAACGTTGTGAGATGGGTCTACTAGCCATGCATTGTTGTTCTAGGAGCCAGCGTCGTCGGATTTGGCGGTTTAGGAGGACTGTGTAGATTATGCTGAGGGCTTGCCAGGCGCGCCATTCGGATATTGGGTCGAGAGGGGTTGGGGTTGGGTCTCTGGTTTGTGATCGGGACATTGAGACAATATCAAGTATATATCAGGTACAAGTAGAAGTAGGTTGAAGTTTTAGTTCAAGTCGTTTGAAGAGGATTGCTGTAGTTGTAGCGAGTATGCGCAACGGCCTCACAACCCTAACTTGACTCCAGTCTGAATCACAATATCGCACCAACTGCACTGGTACCTGAAGCTCCTCTTTTATACATGCAGGGACTATGCAGAAACTCAGCCACAGCCGTCGGAAATCGAAAATATAGTTTCGGCCGGAGCGCAGGTACGAGCCACAGCCCCCGATCTATGTCATACCCCAGACCGAACGTATGCGAGTAAATTGAGTCTTCTTACTGGCTAGATTTTGGACCCTTGGCCACCTTAGCCGAGCGGAGTCTTCCGGCCGATTCTGGCTGTTAGTTATACTCCTATTCCGGTGAGTTGACCCATGGATTGCGGCTCGGTGACACCGGGTTTCCGCCACCTCGGGTGAAGCCGAGGATTTCCCGCACTTTTCTCTTTCGGTTTCTTCTTTGGGTTGCTTTTTTACCCTGTCTTTTTCCTTCGGTTGGGAACTGCTTGGGAAAATTTGTTATCAGATTGCCACTCGGGGAATATAGAGTACTAGCCGCATAAAGCCTAATTATATGGGTGAAGAACTCGGGATCTCGGCTACAATTATGATCATGGATCTAGAAGGAGTTCGCTTAGATGATGTTCCTAAGTTTTTCCTTGTTACGTTTCCCTCGGAGAGCGACTTCAGATCTGGTTGCGGTCTAGACTGAGGTCCGTACCGAGGCTATGGATCTTCACGCCTCGGAGTGGACTATATGTCCGCTGTCTACTTCTCATTTCTTCGTCATTTTGAAAATACTGCCAAGTTGAAATGCAGAGACTCCACTAGTGTTCTACTATCTCTAGCTCTTTTTCGGCAATATATATCCGGACTGGTCTTTGTAATCCTTTACACCAGTCCACATGTGCCAAAACCCAACTTGTGCCAATGTATCATAAGTTATGCACCCTCTCTCACATACACAACCCGTGATGTCAACTTATCAACCCCCTCATTCCCTAACACCCCACTCTCGAACTCGGCATATCGCCAAGATGAAATCGACACTCCCTTGAACCGGAAAGTATACAGACACCTAGTTCCAGAACTCGACCCAAGACTCTTGGCAGCTATCACATACTCCCCCGGAACAGCCTCTTGACCTCTCCTTTCTCGCCACAGAGGCTCCAACTCCAAATTCTGGACAAGTATACCAGCTGACAGTTTGTCTGCCAAGTCAACTGACCAAATTTCGATTCGAGAGGTAGCGGTATCAGACGCTGTCTCGGCCAGGCGCATGATAAACCGTTTTCTTTCCTGCGGGGTTGCATGCTCAATCGGGGTATTCTCCTCGCAGAGATATTCTCTGTCGTATACAGGACTGGTTGGATACCGCGGGTAGAATGTAAGATTCCCAATGAACCCTCCACTCTCAGAAGCATTTGAACCGGCGGTTTGCTTGGTGGATCTCCATGACCCATGCAGAGCACGAAAGATTGCTGATGCGGCAGCCTTTTGTGCTGCGTCATGATGATAGGTTAGACTATCTCGCAAGTCATCCAACGTTCTCACAGCCTCCTTGTTCCAGACAGCGAGGTCTTCGTCTCGATTGGACCGTGTTGTCTCAGTGCCATAAAGATACCGAGCTGGAACAACAGGTCCAGACCGGCTATCACCCGATAGTATAGAACGTTCAATCCCCAAGTCCCTAGCAAAAGACTCCATCAATCCCACATAATCCGCCATAGGAAATTGACCACGAGCAAAATGTGGATCAGCCCGTCTAAGACTCCGAAGTCCTTCCCTCTGATCATGCGTTTGGCAAACAACAGCCTCATCCTGCCCGTACCACAGTTTCCCCAGATATCTCGCTTGCATCTCCATAACACCCCAATAAGGACCACGGTAAAACCCAACAAAACCAACATCTGGAATTTCAGAGCGGACAGTACCCCCTTTATCCAGGATCAAAGGTGAGAAGGGATCTCCTGTGGAGTATTCCAGAGCAGACAATACATCTTCTGGTAACAATGAGAGGGATTTGTAAGGCATAAATCCCGTAGCCATGACAATAGCTGCCACATTATCTATCATCACTGCATCTCCATTGGACAGTATGCACTCGACCGAAGCGAGTTTAGTATCGGGGTTCGATTTTACGGAAACAACCCGGCCCATGGCTGCTTGGATCGTCCCAGCTCGCACGAACTCGGCATAGTCATTTCCTATAGCAACCCACGGTGGCTGGACCTTCTTATCACTATCCTGTGTGAAACCCATATGACCATATCTCTCATAGTCGCTCCCAAGCAAAGTCTGGAAATAGCTGTTGGTCTGGATTGCTTTTTCTTCTGTGATAGGACCTAGCGCGTATTCGATCGAGCCAGGTGGTCGACGGGCTAGATCGTACATTGCCAAGTCCAAGGGTAGGAATGAAGCAGTTTCTTCGGAATCCTGGGGGAGATAGGTTGGGAGAGCCCAGAATGATCTTGAGTGGATGTGGTGGACTTTCGCTGCAGAGGGGTGTATTTGCTCAGTTGATAGTGCGGTTGAGGACTGGTGGAGGGCTACGGCGGATGCAGCTTCGACCCCTGACATGCTGCCGCCGATAATGACGATTTGGCCTTGGGAAGTGACATCCGTGAGATTGTCTCGCTCACGGTGAAGGGTAGAACTGTGAATGACCCGTCCAGGAAATTGATCTAGACCTGGTATATCTGGGATATACTGCTCGGCAAAGTAACCTGAGGCTATAACCAGTAGGTCAAAGTCTTCTGAAAAGACTTTATCATCAGGAGAATCGAAGTATGTCTGATCTCCATGTGCACTAGGTAGCACTGAAATCAGCATCCGCTTCACCACCACGAAGAAAATATCCCACAAACCTTTCCTTCACCCATTGAACAGTCCACTTCAAGGTCTTCCGATCCCTCACCGATCGCTCCGTCCGCACAACTCTATGCCCTAACTTTAACACATCCCGAGGAATATACCGCTCAGCATAACAAGCCAGATACCTACCAACCTGACTAGCCCTCGGAAACAACGGCAAGTCCTCACCAGGGAATACAGACCCCCAAGAAAGATCGGAAAACGCAACGGTAAAACGACTAAGATTCGTCCGCATGCGCAGATCTAATGTACCCGGCGTGCCATCAATCTTGGTATCAGAGGCTGGAAACCCTGCCGGCCATAGACCGCCGATCTCATGTCGGCTGTCAAATATGACTGGGGAGAATGTTCCTTGGGGGAAATTGTGTAGAAGGGTTTTGGCTGTGACTAGACCTGAAGGGCCGGCGCCTGGGTTGGATGAGATGTTAATGTGAGGTTATGAGATCGGGAATGGAATGGCTGTTTTAAGATATTGGAGCTTACCGATTATAGCTACCCTCTTGGTCATTTTGTCTTTACTTGTTTGTAGACGGGCATTCACTGTCTGGGATGTTCGCCCGATGTTGTTGGAGCTGTCGTTGATTAAGTTACCCCGCCTATTGATCCACTCAGTTGGACACATCGTGGGTCTGTTCTTCGCTATACTACGAAGTAGTTATATCCATGTTGGATAGTATGTGTGTGATGTATATATTATCCTTATGCTATTTAGGCACCGTTTTGTGCGTTTGGAAGTACCAATTTGTAAGGTAACATTGTACATTATAAGTTACCGGAAGCAGGGAGGTATACCCCGGCTGTCCGCAACCTTGGCAAGAGGGTCGAGTAACACCTATTTAGTAGCAAACACCTATTTTAGCACCAATCAACCAACTCCTGTGTTAAATGGAGAATAAACCGAAGACAATGATATAAGCCAAGGATCTAGACTGACTTCGGTGTCACTAATACCGACTCCTCCATTTCAAAGGCCTAACACCTTAACTGTCCAGGATATAAGTCATAATAAATCTCATAATATTAACATTATCAAACTGACACCTGTCAGAGTGCATATAATCTAAACCCCCAAAAGAATGTCCCAATAATGCTCAAAACATAGCGAATGGCGTCCCGTCTCGGCATACATACTCCATCCACGTCATGACGTTGACGCCAAGCATAACCCGAAAGGAAGTACCCAGAGGGGAAAGTCGATGATTTACCCCATGAGGCAAGCCAAGATCACTACGGCTTGGGCCCCGAATCGCCAGGGATTGACTTTCTGATCGTATTCTGGGCTCTGGGGTGCGGGGGTTGGTGTTGTGGAGGTGATCGAAACGTCGAGAAAGAGTCTAGCGTATCTTTGTCGCATGTACATGTAGCTCTGTCGCATTCACATTTGCATTCCCACAGCCGAACTCGCATTCTGATGTCCATTCTCGTTCTCACTTTCATTTCCATTCTCATTCTCATTCTCGCTTGAATGGTATGTATGTGTTGGCGACAATCATGATACCCGCTGGAGCCACTCGGTGACTTGGATTTCGGGCGAGTTCAGACTGGGTTTGCAGGCTTCGTTGCATTCTTGTTCTGTGACGAGCGTGTCGACGTTTCGTTCGGTCAGAGGGATCTTGTATTGGTTCTTTTTTCGGAGGAGTTCTTTCTCTGCGAGGGCAGAGGGTGATATCTTGGAGAGGGTATTTCGGAGTCGTTGGATGCCTCCGGAGACAGAGCGTTGGATTGGAGGTGGACCAAATGGATGGTCAACCTTCCAGGGCCCTTCTGAGGGCAGTGACTGCGTGCCTTTCTTGGGAGATCTCGCCATGGTGAACGGGGGTGATCTGGTATAGAGGTGGAGAGGGACTGGCGGCAGCGGGCAGTTTAAGTAGGAATTATTGGCTCTTGGGAGTCTTTCTGGTACTATTTATGCGGGACCTGCGGGGGGCGTGCCTCTCTTTTTATTGGAGCTGGCGAGCCCATGGAGTTTGCGATGCATTAGTCGCCCGCTCCACCTCCTCTTATGGGACAAGGATGTTCGCTATGGAATGCGAATGAGCTTAACTGATCGACTGCTCATAGTTGCTCCGTACGTCGAACGAGAATTCAGTGAAGCCTGCTACGTCATACGTCATGTCGGGAGAAGATGCCGATCCTACTGTAGGGGTGGGGCTTGGCATAAACCTGTTCCACGGAGTATGTCAGGATAGGAGAATCGACCCAGGGAAATGGTCATCTCTGGTCAAATAGAAACTGAAGAAAAACGCCGGACTAATGTCACATTGCTGTCAAACCGCTCTCGTTCGTCGGCATCACCGTCAAAGTCAATTTGTTCCAAAGTTGTCTACTCCATGTGATCAGAATGCCGGGTGAGCCTAAACTAGTGTGATCTAGATGATCTAGCTAGAGTAGAGTTATTATCACACTATCACTGCCAAATCTATACAAATGTATAGCACTTCGACTTTATTGCACCTATATCTATCTCAATAAGTAAACCTGAAACTAGGATGGTCATCTCCAAGATTCTCCAGCTCCTCCCGCGGCCACTGGTATCGATGATCCCTCTTACCCTGCTCACGGAGACGATTCTCACGGTGCAAATAAGTGAAGAAGACAACACACGCCAGACCACAAATCCACACCATACCCAAACTCACACCGAAACCAGTAGCATAGGTTGGAGCCTCCGAATCAAAAAAGACATTGCTGGCAACCAGACCGCCACAATTACCAAATCCGATCTGCATAGCCGACGCAATCGATTGCTTATAATGCCCAGCCATGTTGTTGCTAAGCCAGCCCATTAAAATTGGCTGTGTCATGTATCCTCCGCCGGTGATGGCATACAGGGCAAAATATCGGGCACCAACGGGCACTGACTTCTGGCAGATCAAAATCACATACCCAATTGTGGCGATGATACAGCCTGTCAATGTAAATGCGAATCGATGGCGCAGTCGATCGCTTGCGAAGGCTGTGGCTAGTGCGATCACTGTCGCGACGATGTAAATTGGGATACTCATGACTTGGGCTCGAACGGATGTCCAGCCGAGTTGTTTGAGAATTGTTGGGGTGAAAAAGGACGAAGCGTAGCCAGTGTTTACAATACCAAAGTACATGATCGGCCTGTAGATGTCAATATGTGTTAAACCTGAAACAGGACACAATACTCACCCCAGATAAAGCTTGATATCCGAGAATGTACGCTTGATTGCTGGCTTGTCGAAGCGGTTCATTTGCGCCTCTCCATGGTCATCCGATAGTCTCTGAAGCAGCAGAGCTCGCTCTTGGTCATTCAAAAACGATGCTTTCTCTGGCCAATCCACAATAAGGAACTTGGCAACAATAGCAGCAATGACCGTAACTAGACCTTCTATGATGAAAATCCAGCGCCAGCCGCTAAATCCTGCCACACCATCCATCTGGGCGATAGCATAGGCGAGAAGCTACAAATGATGTTTCAGCTCTGAACGTATCACAACCACACAGGACATACATACTCCACTAACTGCGCCAGCCAGAATGCTAGCACTGAAGAAGACATTCAATCGCCACTGCAATTCATGACGCTTGTAATACATAGCAATCAGATAAATGCAACCTACTACATTAGTGAAGATCAAGTGAGAGATCAAGAGCGACACACCTGGCATGAACCCTGCTTCAAACAACCCCAACAAGAAACGACATGCAACGAGGCCACCGAAACTCTTAGTTACACCTTGGCAGATTGTCACAATTCCTAATATCATTTAAAGTCAGCGCAACCCTCTCTCGGCTCAGTTTGGCTGTTCATACCCCATAAGCACATAATCCCACTCAACCACCACGACGGTGGCACTTTTCTCAAAACGAGATTGCTGGGAACTTCAAAAAGAATATACGGAATAAAGAAGATAAAAAGCGCAATATTATAATCATGGCCTTTCATACCCAGATCTTTCTCTAAACCTTGGAGTCGGGCATTTCCAATATTGATCCGGTCAAGGAAGGCAAGCAAGAAAAGGAACATAAGAATCGGAACAACGTGGATGTCAAGTTTCCAGAGCAGTCGTTTCTCCGCTGAGCGATCCAGCTCTGGTATTGAAGATTGAGACTTGACATCTTCGACTGTTTCATGGTCGCATTCTTTTTCAGGATCCATTTTGGATATGGTAGGGGATAATGATAAAGTGATCCGAGTGGATCCGATATCTCAATGTGTAAGGTTACATCGAGTATAACACACTGCGGAAAGTGAGCTTTTTAAATACAATTTGGCCTGCAGTTGATTGCGCTGTAAAACCGCGTTGACTGGGGAAATCCGGGGTATTGCTGATCTTCCCCCGCACGGCCATCTGGCGCTCATTCCGCCTTTTTCTGTAAAAGTGAGAATTAGTTCCGCTGTAGAGAATGCCAAGAGCGCCCACACATACCTTGGTTGTTATTGGTGTTTGCACGGGCTTGGGAATAGGGTGTCACAATCACATCTGCAAAGTTGGTCCACCTCTAAGCTTCAATATATTGATCTTAATGCAAACAGAGACCCCAGGTTCAAAGCGGGGCTTTTTCCTCATGTTTCCGATACGCTTAGGATACTACTTTGCACTGGGCGAAGTTGTATAGTACAAGTGCGGAACGGTACTCCGGAATGATCATTCCGCATGTTGTTTGCCCCCACCGCAGGATGTGTTTGAACAAACCTACATGAGATATCAAAAAGATACAAACAGCCAATAAGCATGTAGCCGAAGATAATACTGAATAGGTCTAGATCTGCGATTTCAATATTGATCTGACATTCCATGCACTCATGACCTATTGTTCAAGATCCGATATTCCTACGAAGAGCAGGCTCCAAAGGGAAAGTCTGCTCGTCCTCTGCAACATCCTTGAAAACCGTATCCCAGCGATTCTGAAGCTGCCGGGGTGTTTCCCATGCATTTTCAGGGTCTCGCAACCAAAGTCTCAATAGATGACGCCTAATACAATCATGCCGTTAGCAGTGTGATAAGATGCCTCGAGGCGTATAAGAAATTCCAACTCACTCCTGGCCAGGCTCATCTTTGAATCCATTACGAGCATGGAAAATACTGAGGTTATTCACATATTGAACATCACCTTTCTGGAAATCCAGAGAAGCTCTATGCTCTTCCGCCAAGAAGTGCAGCGCGTCGAGTGCCTCGGCTTGAGCTTCTGAGATAGGAGGAATATCCTTTGACCGGGGTTGAGCCAGGAAGCCAGTAAAGTATCTGCGGGCGTATTGAATAAGAACGCGCTCGGGTGTATTTGCCGTAGCAGGCTGATGATACAGCAGAGGGCGGAGAGTATAGGGCTTGGACGGATTGTTGAAACTGGGTATATTAGTTTGCAAGGATTATTGTCTTTTACTTCGGGGGCACTTACCCATCGACTGGCCAGTCCTGAGACAAAGTGTGAATAAGATCCGGTCTCTCCTTAGCCAGGATATTATAGACGTGCCAGCTACTAGACAGGTAGCTCTCGCCTCCTTCCGCGGCTCGGTTGAGACACAGCAGTGAGATGATATCGCCGGCGTCGGTATGGAAAACCTGCTTATCGGCCGTGTTCGAGGGCGCACCGATCTTCTCCCGCTCAGTTGTGCTAGTGAGGTCTTTGATATGTGATATCACAGGCGAAGTGCCGTTGGCCAGTCGGGTATCCTGCTGGCGCCCGCGGATACTTCCGATATGAGACGATACTCCAGTATAGATAATGATATTGTCTTCGCGGGAGTACTCATCGATACGCAGGCCTCGGAGAACGACAAAACCGCGACCAGTGTGGATTTCCTTTGACAAGTCACGCAGTGTGGGTCGAAGAGTAGGAAGAGGGAAGGTTGACTGGTTGATATGTCCCAGAGGAAGGTTGAGAGCTGGTCAAATTAGAAAAAAGCCGATACTGATCATTTGGACAGTTATATACCTTTGAAGCTTTTCAGAGCAGCATCTATTTCATCCAACTCACCATCCTTCAACTGGTAAATCCAATCATCCCGTTTCTCAACATCCTTTCCTTCCCAAACTAGTGGTGATATGAGCTGCTGTGGAAACCCCGCGGGCAAAGAGGTCTGTAGAGTCTCAGTCTCCTTGCGGCGACGTGTACGCTCTTTATATTTCTCGTATTCCGGGTGATACTGAATATCAGGTTGGACGGGTACGGTGATAGTCTCAGTAGCAGACATATTGGATATGTTAATATCGTTCGTAGTGGTCAAAAGTGTGATAAGATGGATAGTCACCGAGAGAGAGAAGTGGCCCTTTAAATGGCGAAGATTGATAAGCCTCACTTAGGTCTTAAATATTTGTGATCGCGACATAGCCGTGTCACTCAACAAAAATGTGTTAGTTATCACGACATCAACCCCGCAAAGCGCGAGATAGCCAGTGAAGTTAGGAAAATTAGTTTACAGCGGGGTCTCAGATATTTGGATAAGAACAATAAATTACAATACCTCTAGCAGAAGTCCTCTAGTTTCTTGAGGCTACTTTTTTTACAAAGTGTTCAAAAACGGCTACGAAGCCGGCGGTAAAAAGAGATGAGATGAAAGGTGAAGCTATCTATGTCTCCCGAGGTAGAACAGTTGTATAAAGGTGCTTCTAGTATATCTCGGTCTATAGCTACGATGGCACCATCTAAACGCGATCGACGCAATGTCGTCTCGGGATTAGCGTCCAATAAATAAGGCAGAAATCGTAGAGCAAAAAGTGAGGGCCTCTCAACACCTCCATCCTCCGACCGACATATTGAAACTTCATATTACAATCTATACAAAATCCAACAAGATGTTCCTTCAATGTTATGAAGTTCAGCTTATCAAGTTAAAGTTGAGGCGGAGAAAACGGCACGTGAGCCCATTAGTCAAGATCGTCTTTCCCCAGCCTCTGTATTCGATCCCCATAAATGAATGAAATGAGTCAAACAACTAGCAACATCTCAGACATGACGAGCGGCAATCGCGTCGACCTGCATCGTCCGTTTCCGTGTGATAAATGCTCTAAAACTTTTACGCGGAGTGTAAGTACCCCAGCTCCTTATCTCCTCTGCCTAGTTCTGACGCCGATCCGATCTGCCGCAGGAGAATCTACAGCGGCATAAGCGTGCACGTAAGTCTGCATGAATTTTCCTTCATAGAAAACCAAATATTGATGCCCTATAAGGTCATGGCGGCGCTTCGCGCAAGGATTTCCAGTGTGGCAGATGTCATGCTCGATTCTCTCGAAGGTCTTGTTTCCACTTTCATGCCTGCCATGCATTGCAATAAAACTGATAATTTTGCAGCGACGTATATAAACGACATGGTGATCGTTGCCGTGCGACAGGATCTCCCATTCAGACATCTCAGCCTCATGTGCCGTGGGAGGGTATGCATACCCCCCCGGCAATGGTCGGCATAACATCACCTTTGACCACCAATTCCAACCCAGCCAAACCTGTCGTGACCGACGAAGCTTTTTGGGAAGAGCACAGTACATTTGCTACTGAATTACCCCAGAGTCTCTCATCTCCCTCGCTGAGGTATGCTTGCCTTGAGCTGATCTGTATTAATTGCGTCCGATGCCGTTCCACAGTAAGGGGACTCATCGATTGAAATGACACGTCTAACAACGGAAACTTAACACACAGTAACCACGCCAATAACGAAGAAACATACGTCAAGCAGTATTTTGAGCATTTCCATCCGTCTTTCCCTCTGTTGCATCGACCTACATTCACTGTATCCTTGACGCCAAAGTTATTGCTGGAGGCCGTTACTGTCATTGGAAGCTTATTTTCTCCCAACTTATATGATCATGTGGAAACGCAAGCCCTCGCACAGTGGCGTCAAGGTATATGGCAAAGTGGACAGGAAGAGCTCCGGCATATGGTATATGATGAGCCTCACTATCGTGTTGTATGAGAGCAACGTTCTAATCGATTTTGAAATAGGTTTCCTTGAATTGCAGTGAGATCAGACAGCCCTGGGTCATGCAAGCGTGGCTTCTCTATATAATCTACGGGGTATACGCAAGCGAAGCAGGCCAATTCCAGACCGTGAAAAAGATGCTACGGCAACTTATCGATGTCAGTATTGTCTTCTGCAATTTCCTTTCCCCCTTTCACCTAGACTTATTTTTTGATATAGGCTGTACGCGAAATTGGTCTGTCCCAACAGGGTATCGCTATGCCAGATGCCCAGTCTTGGATGTACCAACATGATTTCAATTCATCCAGAGATGATTCGCAAACTCTCTATACACGGTGGATGTCCTATATTACCACTGAATCGATGAGACTGTCGCTGTATACTCTAGTCTTCCTGGACTCACACACATTTTCGCCCTGCAACTCTCGGCCGTTGATGTCACCGATGGAACTTGGCTGGGAGCTTCCCTTCCCTATCAATTTGTGGGAAGCCAAAAACTCTGAGATATGGCTTTTGAGATTCAATGAGAACTTTGGACTTTCGACTTTTACAACAGCCAACAGTCTGTTACACGGGCCACGCGGCGTTGGGACCGCCTCTCTGACAATTGCTACTCAGCAACTCATGACCGAAACACCGGACTCGGAACTTTTATCAGCGTTAGAGGCATCCCCCTTTGCCGCTTTTTGCGTTCTGACGAACATGGGTGCTCTTGTGCGGGACTTTACGCGGTGTTACTATCAGATGCCACCCAGTCCATCCGATCCGAATCCATTCCATATACTGACTCAGGCTCAGAATAAACAAGTGCACACGGCAATAGAAGCAATTACGAAGATTGTCAAGAAGCAAGCTTACACTGGTGACAGCCCCCAGTTTCTTCTATGGAGAACGAACGAGCTCTTTATCTCTTCTCTCAAGATCAGCTTATGTCGCCCCGATCAGCTCTTGGTAGGAGGCATTGTGGATAACAGTTTGATAGCTGGGATGGCTGCTTCCACTCACCTGACCCAAGGGAACCTTGTCGCGATCCGACGGTCAGCACCTCTTGTTCTTCATCATGTCGGTGGCGATGAGGGGATTTTGGCTCTTTTGAATGATCTATCTGGCGCATTTTCCAGAATCTCCGGGGAGGAGCAGGATAAAGTGGTCCGCGAAGCACCATGGGTCACCGTGACCAGTTACGGTGTTTTATTATGTATCTGGGGAGCGCTCAAACGCGCAAGCACCGATATCCGACACCACTTGAACACGTTCAACGAACTCCCAAAAACCTCGGAATCCTGCATGTTGATCTTCAACACCCTCATGGAGTCCGCCCTTCTCAATTTCTCCACAGAGAATGATCGGGTGATCCGAGACCCCCGCTTATGGACTATGGATCGAGAGGCTTTCGTTAGTTTGCTCGATGAAGGCGAGTCACTATTTGTCAATTTAATCAAGGCATTCTGTCAGCGAAGATCCGTGTGGGGGATCGGGCCTTCCATGCTGGCTGTGTTGGGCGAAATCCCGGGTACTGGGCCCGAGTGAACCCGTCGTCCGAGCGAGTGGACGGTGGGTACACCAAGTGGAGCTCCACATCCCATTCGGCTCCTTAAGTTCGGTCAACCTTAAATCGCAATCCGTTTTAAACCTGCGAGGAAACTAAAGGCTTCCGGAAAGTTTTGGAATCGAGCAACTGCAATCTAAAGAGCCAGAATGACATCATCGACTCTGAGTGTTGGCTGGGTAGGTTATCATCCCTTATTTGGTCGCTCATTTGCTGACCAGGCGTCAATAGTATGGCCTTGGATCGATGGGGCTGGGAATGTCCCTCAATCTCCAAAAATATCTTCTGAGCAACAATTTGTCGCCACTTCGTTACAGCAACCGCACTTTGTCAAAAGGTGATCGTCTTCGTGATGAAGGAGCCATACCTGAAGAGAAGTTCGAAGATGTCGTCCAAAACTCGGATGTAATTTTTACAATGGTAGGAGGTGCATTTGTTTGTTACAGGATGTGCGCTGTATTGACGAAGACAAATAGATTTCCAATGACGATGTCCTAAAGGAACTAATTAACAAGGCCCTGGTCGCGGGCGATTCATTGAAAGGCAAAATATTTGTAGACACTTCTACTATTCATCCAGAAACGTCAGAATGGGCCACATCGCGCCTAAGTAAACACGGAGCAGCGTTCGTAGCTGCTCCAGTGTTTGGTGCTAGCCCCGTGGCAGCCGCTGGGAAGCTGATCTTCGCGGTAGCCGGACCTGCTATGGCAGTTGAGACAATCAAGTCTCTTATCATGAACGTCATGGGACGTAGCATCATTGATATGGGAGAAGACGTGCGAAAATCCAGCCTCCTCAAAATTTCCGGGTAGGCATCAGCTCAATCTTTGAAGCAAGCATCAACATTGAGCTAATTCATTCCTTTGTCCAGGAATATTCTCGTTATCAGCTTCATGGAAGTGATTGGCGAAGCGCAAGTATTTGCCGAAGTGACGGGGCTTGGCAATCAACAGTTGGAGGAATTTATTGGCAATATGTTTGGTCCCGTGCTCGAGAGCTACTCAAAACGTATTACTACTGGCGCGTATGCACCGCCGCTGGACACGTCTCCCGGGTTTGCAGCCGCCCTTGCAAGCAAAGACATGAACCACGCTCTCTCCATCGCTGCCAGTCATTCAACTCGTCTCCCAACGCTCGAAACTGCATCACATCGTCTTATGTCAGCACGAGAATATGCTGGTGAGTGCTTGGATAGTTCAGCCATGTATGGTACAGGGCGAATGGAAGCGGGCCTGTCATTTTGGAGCGAAAACAGTCGACAGGGAAACTGAGTCTTTAGCTTCTGACTAAATAGAACGTTTATGTGTTTGTACTTAAACTTGATCTAAGGTTCACTCAACGCTTCCTGGCTTGATTCCTTCCCTAAAAATAGAACCAGGCCATGTACGTTGCCTTGCGCGTGAACCAGCTATTGACAGCGTTAAGCTTTGACGCCTGGTTATTGATGTAGCAGTGCTATTTCTACAGACAGCTTAAATTGCTATGTGATTGCAAATTTCACCCCCAAGTCACAGAATTCTCATTGGCAGAATTTAGGATCTTAACCAGATACTATAGACTGTTTCTCATTTTCTTTCTTCTAACTCTTAGATTTCATGTTAACATATTCATTCCAGAATATACAAGTCGCCCCTGCCAATCCCATGCACCTTTACAAACGTTTCTCCAGATCAACCACCTCACTTATCGGAGCCACAATTCCTTGGCTCAAAGTCGAGATTGTTGTGTTCCCTAGTGGTCTGCGTCCCCGGCCCGTACCGTATCCGAAATGATGGGACACGATAGCTTTGACACCCGCAATGCCCACCTTGGTGAGGGCCCAGTCTGCATGACTGAGCTTGGACTGAAGCTGTTGTGCTGCCTGAAGCTCGCCCTTCTCATAGTACCGCAGCACCTCCACATGCAGCTTGGGTACAATATTGGCGAGTGCGGCAATAATCCCGTTCGATCCAGCGACGAGCGCGGGTAGGAAAAAGTCGGACTTTCCACCAAAAGCAGCAAATGATGTCCCTGAAAGTGCTGATGAGACACGTTGGAGCTTTCCAACATTGCCGCAGGTGAGCTTGCACCCGACAACATTTGGATTGGACTCGGCTAGGCGGATGATGGAGTCGGAACTGATGTCGATACCTCCCGTCACGCCAGGGAAGTTGTATATGAGAATAGGAAGCTCGGATTGAGTTGCCACCTGCATTTTCAGGTATTGTTAGACCATCAAAACACGAGAGACGGATTTCTTTTTCAGGATATAGAAAGATCTTACATCATGGAAGAAGCCTTCAATAACGGATGCATTCATGGCTGCAACCCAGTATGCCGGTGGCAACACGAGAGCGAAATTGGCACCGGAAGCTTTAGCCTCTGAGATATAGGATAGCGTTTCCCGCACACTAGGTGCGCCGCAACCGACAATCAACTGCAATCCTGTATAGCCCAGATGGTCAAGGTGGTCGCGGACAGCGCGCACCAGAGTCTTGCGCTCGCTATGATCCAGATGAGGAGCCTCTCCATTGCTTCCCTGAAGCACAATCCCAGCGACCCCGCCTTCGGCCATGCGCTTTGCATGAGCCAAAGTGCTTTGGAGATCGAGGGACTCGTCCTCCTCGAAGAAGGTTACTAGTGGCGTATAGACGCCGAAGTTGGGCTTTGCTGGTGCCATTTCGTTGTGATTTTTGAATGTGAGGATTGAAGAAATGCTGACAGTATTTAGCGCCTGACTGCTATTTATTGCTCCCACCTTTCCTCATATTCATCGAGCTCGACTGGTGATTGTCTTGTCGGTGGAGCTCCACCTCGTTGTCCATCGCCGGGCTCCGCTAGTATTCATTGAAAGGCACATAACGCAATCAAGGCTAATATAACTAACTGCATTGAATTTTTGCTGTTTCCTCCTTTGCTGAATATTCTACTTACATTCAAAAATTACTTACCCCCTGATCGGCACAATGAGCTCTGTTTCTCCTTCGTTTTTCGAGGTCGTGAGCTATACGCCCCCGGACGCTATCTTCGAGCTCACCAAAACATACAATGCGGATCCAGTTGCGCGCAAAGTAAATCTTGGGCAAGGGACATACAAAGACGAAAATGGCAACCCTTGGATCTTGCCCGCAGTGCGATCGGCAAAAGAGAAGATCAAGGACTCCAACCATGAATATCTCCCGATTCTAGGGCTCCCATCATTTCGGACACTGGCTGCGGATTTGGTCTTTGGCAAGCATTCTGCCGCAATCCGGGAAGGCCGAGTGCGTAATATTCATCTTCTTTCAGACGGTCAATCCGGTATTGACTTCTTGGGTTCCTCTAGGTCGCATCCTGTCAAGCTCTGTCCGGTACAGGGGCACTCCACATCGCCGGAACAATGCTTAAGCAGGTGTTAGGTCGCGATACAACCGTGTATATAACCAAGCCTAGCTGGTCGAACCACCGCCAGGTTTTCGAATCAATTGGCTTCGCAGTCCAAGAGATCAATTATTCGTCTAGTGCCGGTGTCGACATGCAATCATTGATCCAAACACTGAACGAGGCAGCCCCAAAGTCCATCTTTGTGTTTCATGCCAGCGCCCATAACCCAAGCGGCTGGGACTGCAGTCCAGCCCAATGGAAACAGATCGGTGCTATTGTGAAGGAACGGCAGCTCTTTCCCCTTTTTGACGCCGCGTACTTGGGATTGACTTCGGGCGACTACGATCGCGATGCATTTGCCATCCGATATTTTGCCGATGAGCTTGGTCTTGAGATCGCCGTATGTCTTTCTTTTGCCAAAAGTATGGGACTATATGGTATGAAGATGATTCTAGTGCTATTCTTTCCCCATCTTATGCTAACCTGTGCTGAATGTTCAGGCGAGCGTGTCGGAATGTGTGCCTTTTCGTCGAATACTCCCACTATCACAGCTGCCGTCGAATCAAGTCTGGCACGAATGATCCGTGCTGAAATCTCTAACCCCCCTGCATTCGGCGCGCGCATCGTAGCTGCGGTTCTGGAAGACGAGGAGCTTTACGCGCAGTGGCGGAAAGATCTCGTCACAATGAGTTCGCGAATCGCAGAAATGCGATGGCAATTATATCAAGGATTGGCTGAACTTCGTACGCTTTCCGTCCTCTCGGTCGCTTTCAGGATTTGATATGGAATACCACTGATGGTTTCTTAGGCACCCCTGGAGACTGGAAGCGCATCACCGAACAAAAAGGGATGTTCTGCATCCTTGGTCTCACCCCGGATCAAGTACACTATTTACAAAGTAAGTGAATGGAAACCAGGTGTTCCGAGGCGCAATTATATTTGGCCTGAGAGGGCTAGCTGACATGTGTCTGACATAGAGGAATACCATATCTATATGGCCGAGAGTTCGAGGGTATCTATTGCGGGGCTCAACGGGTCTAATGTTCGGTATGTCGCCGAATGCATCAATCAGACAGTGAAGCGATAAGATGGATTATCGTTGTCGGTGGACTGTGTCAAGTATCAGATATCATAGATAGTCCCAATGCCGGATAAGTAAATTGATATTTGCATCGGCTATTCCCGGGCGCATAAAGGTTAGGGTTACGTGGAACGCCAACCAATATAAACTTTCGAATAAGAACCTTCTGATAAGCCCGTCCACAAGCGCCAAATGGAGCTCCACCAGAGATATGTCCACCTCCACAAAGTCCGGGGTACAGCTTGGAGCTTGGCCCCTCCCCCATAGGCTATCAAATGCCCTTCCAATAACCCAATATCAGGAGGGGATTTAAAGAGGAAGCCATTGCTTCATGGTTCTGGCATTCCGAGGCACTTTTGTACAGGGTGCATCAACTGAGACAACATGACCACAGTGTCAAACGATATGAAGCTATCCGAAGTTCCATCAAAGCGTGACACGGAGCAAGCGGTCATGGACGTTCAGGATGGAGACCTGAAGCAGCAGGAGATCCGGGACATCGATCCTGCTCTCCAATTCATGGACGCAGAGGAGATTGAATATACTCCCGACGAGGCCAAGAAGGTTTTATCCAAAATCGACCGAGTCCTCATGCCCTTGCTCTGTTGGGTCTATTTGATTCAGTTTGCCGACAAAACATCATTGAACTATGCCTCGCTTATGGGTATTCGGGAAGACACTCATTTGGACCCCCACTCGCAGCAATACAGCTGGGTCTCGAGTATTTTCTATGCTGGATATATTTTTTGGGAGTAAGTCTGTTCTCCTGCTATTATCTTCTACAGGTTGCTAATGTATGAGCTTAGATTCCCCACCACTTATCTGCTTCGCCGTCTGCCCATAGGCAAATACAGCTCAGTCAATATCCTGCTCTGGGGTATCGCACTCGTCTGCCACGCAGCCACTCATAACTATGCGAGCCTACTGTGCGTCCGTTTCTTCCTAGGCGCATTTGAGGCAACCGTAACGCCGGCCTTTGTCTTGTTCACTTCTTGCTGGTATAAAAAAGAGGAACAAGCCAGGCGCATGGGCTTGTGGCTCAGTTGTAACGGATTGGCCCAGCTGCTTATCGGGCCCATCGCATACGGCCTAGCTGGTGTACACGGAACTGCCATCGCTGTCTGGAAAATCCTCTTTTTGGTATTTGGCCTGCCGACTGTCCTAACGGGTATATTATATCTTTGGTACATGCCCGACAATCAAATCCAGGCCCGGTTCTTGAATCATCGCGAGAAGCTTATCGCCATTGATCGCATTCGGGGCAACTTCCAAGGAATCGGCAGTCATACATGGAAATGGCCCCAGTTTTTTGAAGCATTCCGCGACCCGCGCACCTATCTCTACGTGCTATTCTCGCTGCTGATGAATATTCCCAACGGAGGAATCACGACTTTTGGCTCTATCATCATTAGCTCCTTTGGATTTTCCAATCGGATGTCCCTGATTTTGAACATGCCAATGGGCCTCGTGGACATTACTTGTAAACTGGGACTGACCTATCTCTCCGATCGGTTCTTTGATCGCACCCTCTTTGCCATAATCGCCATTATGATCCCCATGATCGGCGGTATCATGATGACTGTGATCCCCCTTGATGCCAAAGCCGCCTTGCTGGTAGGATACTACTTCATCGGTGCCGCTGGAACTGCCTGGTGTCTCGTTATGGTGATGATTTCGAACAACACTCTAGGGTACACCAAGAAAGCGACAGTGAACGGCCTCCAGATCTTGGCCTACGCAGCCGGAAACTGGATCGGTCCTCAAACATTCCGCTCAAAGCAAGCGCCTGAGTATTTCGATGGCAAGCTGATGGTCGCCATCATGTATGCTTTGGCAGGGGTCACCTTGGCAGTAATTCGGGTAATCAACATCGTGGAGAACAAGAGACGCGACCGCAAGGCGATCGAGGACCCTGACACTGCGCATGCTGCCCCTGGCTCTGAATTCCTGGATTTGACTGATTTCGAGCAGCCAGCCTTTCGCTATGTGCTGTGATTTTTTACGCTTGAACAGGGATCGTGGTATCTTTATTATCTTTCATTCGAGGCTTTCCTGGCTGAGCTTGAGGATCCAAGGCGGAATATTTGTTTTCAATCGGAGTGTACCGCGTTAGGACTTGGACTTTTAAGATACTTCTGTGATAGTAGAAACTTCAACCTCCACAGCTTTTGTTTGAAATCTACGTATTCTTCCAATCACTTGTTAGCACAACCTTTCAATAAACCAGGTAGACTTTAGCTATCATGCCAGCCTACTCTCCAGTTTGAACACTATGGGGGCGAAACCTGAGCTCGAAAGCATGCAAGAATGTCTATCATCAACATTCCTCTTCTAGTACATTGGAATAATTCTTGCGTTCAGTCCTGCTGTTTCTTCCACAACTTCCGTCTTTGCTTTTTTTTGGTAAAAGTTCTTAACTTTTGATTAGCTGGAGCCCGACTCTTTTCATGCATATCGAATACTGTTTACCTGGACCCGAGAGAAGGATAATACATTTAGTAAAAGAAATAAATACAAAATGTCTAACTACGTATACTCCTAGACCTCCTCTGCCAAGCTCCGATTGGCGGCCACACTACCGTTGGCGATAGGGACAAACGACGGCATGACCGTTGACTGATCCACGCTAGATTGCTTTGGCTCCCCAGGGACTCCATATCCTCCACCACCAGGGGTTTCAATAACGAACCGGTCCCCAGGTTGGACGCGGATCGAATTTTTACCACCAACGGAGATATGCCGGCCAGCCTTGGTGATCCATGTGTTTTTCCCGCGCTTGCCATCAGCACCGCCTGCCATACCGTAAGGCGCAAAGCTGCGGCGTTCGGAAAGGATGGACACAGACATCGGCAGCCGCAGCTCAACATCTCGGATAACGCCTTCTCCTCCAGGATACATTCCGGCGCCGCCACTCCCGTCACGAAGACTGAAACGACGCAGAATCACCGGATAGCGGCGTTCTAGTGATTCGGGGTCTGTGATGCGCGTGTTGGTCATGTTGGTATGCACGCCGCTTGTGCCAGCCCAGCTGGGGCCTCCACCACTCCCGCCAGCGATGGTTTCATAGTATCCGAACCCATGCTCTCCATCATTGCCGAAGGTGAAATTATTCATGCACCCTTGACTGGCAGCGCAGACCTTGAAGCTCTTGAAAATGACGTCCACGATCCGTTGCGAGGTCAATACGTTACCCGCGCACACTGCGGCTTCGAAGCTCGGCCGCAACAGCGACCTGT